GACTCCTCACCCTGTAACAGGTAGGGGCTGAGGTATGCTGGGAGAACCTGGCAGTCAGGTCCACTTTAATATGTTAAATAGGCTCCTTAGTTAGCCTTTTGTCCTGGGCTTGAGACCTAACAGAGGTTCCTCTAAGAGAGGCTGAAACTTTCAAATGTCTGTACTATACAGCCAGAATGCCACCACCTCCCTAGGCAGCACCACCAGCTGGGGAATAAGGGTTCAGACATGTGAACCGGCAGAGAGCTTTCACAGTCAAACTGTAGCAGGCACTAAAATAAAATAAGGCGGTGTCTGTAATTTGCTTCCCCTTATTCTGGGGGTGTTGGGAGGAAGGCAGAGTGAGTGTGTTTTAGTTTCGTTGGTGGCTACAAACTTCAAACTGTTTAGAGATCTTTGGATAGTTTAATTTGTGCACTCAGGAAGAAAAAAATAAAGGAAATAAAACCCAGCAAAAGAAACTGGTGTTTAAAATAATAAAATAAAGTAGCCAGTTAACCAATGCTTCCCCCAAAGCAATTCTCCGATTGCACAGTAATATCTGAGAAGATGACCTCCACAACCTCTCTTAGAGGAACCTCTGTATCTGAGAGAAGACGTTGCTCACATTCACACTGAGCTTGCCCGGTCTTGCCTCCAGGGAGCCTGAGCTCTCTGATTCCTGGTCAGCAAGATGTCAGCAAGCTCCCACTGCCAGACTCTGCCACTGTGGCTGCAATGCCTATGCGCCTCGATGAACTAAAGCCACCGAGCCGTGAGTCAAGACAAACTTCTCTCCTTAATTTGTTCCCACCAGTTATGTGCCATAGAGATAAGGAAAGCACCTGGCTCATTCATTCCCTGGGCCTAAAACCCACGCGACTCCCACACAAAGCCAAACTGTTCTACCACACCAAAAGCACATCCTCCCTTAATTTTTCCCTTTCTTTCTTTTTTTTAAATTTAAGTTAGAAACAAGCTTGTTTCACATGTCAATCCCAGTTCCTTCCTCCTCCCCTCCTCTCCCTTAATTTTGACTACTATTCAGCACTCCAATTCCTTCCATTGTCTCCAAGGATTTTCCTAAAGCCAAATCCTTTGTATCAAGATTCAGACAATGTCCACATAAAACATTTAAGCATTGCGTGTGAGCATGAGGCCGGGGGATCCTGGGTCACATTAAGTCCCATTCAGGTCCTGGGTCACATTAACAAAAGTGTTTGAGAGTAGACACTGGGGAAACCAGAGGAATTGAAGCCAGAAAGCTCTGAGGGGTGGGGTGGAAAAGCTCCTGGCTGAGCAAGTGCCAACAGCTTCCTGGAAAGGGGTGCTGAGAACTTATGCTCCCTGGAGGCAAGACTGGGCAAGCTCAGTGTGAATGTGAGCAACATCTTCTCTGGTTCAGAGGCACAGAGCTGGCTAAGCAGAGGGTTAGTCATCCTATTCCCTTGCCACACCCTTAGGCATACTGCCTTTCTTCCCAGCCTTTGGCCTAAGCAGGTCTGATATCTGCCCTAAATGGAACCCAGTTGTCTTAGTTATGGTTTCTATTGCTGTGAAGAGACCATAACTATGGCATCTTATAAAGGAAGACATTTAATTGTGCCGGCTTGTAGCGAACTGGTTTGATTACGGTGTGGGGCTACAACACTTCTCAAATCTGGGTGAAGGGCTAAGGATTTAAATGAAGACGAAGACAGCGGCTCATTCTTGCAAGGAGAATGGCAGTTATTGTAACAAGAGTGAGCATTAAATACCAGTCAGCCACGGTGGAAAACCACCAAGGTCAGAAGCCTATGTTCCCAGTGCCCTCTGACAAAGGATGGGCCAATAACAGGAATTAGCATTAGACAACAAGGATGGACAGGAACTTGCATTCAGGCTATACTAGGAGGAGAGGATAAGAGGATAGAAGCTCCTAGTCACAAGCTAGTCTGCAGACCCCCAAGGGGGAAGGGTGCAACTCTGGCTTGCTTATAGTACAGAGGTTCAGTCCATTACCATCATGGTGGGGAGCATGACCGCCTGTGGGCAGACATGGTACTGGAGTAGCTGAGAGTCCTACATCTTGCAGGCAATGGGAAATCAACTGATAGTCACACTGAGGGAAGCTTGAGCAAAAGCGACCTCAAAAGTCTACCTGTACACTGACTCACTTCCTCCAACAAGGCCATACCTCCTAATAGTGCCACTCCCTTGGGGGACCATTTTCTTGCAAACCACAATCTATGCATCTCTGTTTAATGTAATCTTTTTAAAAAGTTCCTGGTTCCTTCAAAGCTCCCCTCATCCAAAGGGGGCTTTCAACCTACAGAACCACATTCATCTCGAGGCAGCTGCTGATTCTGACTGGGAGATCTGCAATGCAGAAATTGGAGCCACACAGTGGAGCCAACACAGCTAGGGAAGTCTTAGCCCCTTCCAGACAAACATCAGCTGAGTCCTCTGCTTCAGCTCCACTGCAGAAGCTAGAGAGAGACACTTAGTGAGAAATGAAGGTGAGAAGAAAGAAACTTTCAAAGACAGAAACTCCTTCCTGGAGACACCAATGTGAGACCGGTCAGAACTGCATTCTCCCTATCTTAGACCCCGAATTCTAATCCTGTGCATTCATTCTTTTGGTGTAGTACAAGAAAGAATGATTTGTCTATCGAGTTGAAGTCTTCAAATGGTCAAAAGAAAACAAAGATACAGGAAGATGAAGCTGGATTTGAAGACAGAAAAATTATAGAACGCATATTACAGGGCAATCAAAAGCAACTTTCGCCACGAGAGACAGAAGTAGGATGGGTGGAATTGTACTTGATAATGCTTCAGCCCCCTGGGTACTAGAGAACAAGCATGAACCACCATGAATTCTCTTGTATTTGAGAGTTGACAAGTGGGGACAACAGACCTTAGGCCTGGGAGTAGGCAGCTGTAAGACAATGTTTACTAAAAACATGTTTACTAAAAACAGGACAATGCCTGGGGCAATAAGTTCCTGAAAAAGGCTGTCCCATGGGAACTGCCCTGACCTCGACCTTTTCCAAAGACTAACTGCCTCTTCTGACACACCCAAGTCAGTTTCTGGTGTCAGAGCAGTACCAGCCAGGGGTAAGGCAGGGAGCAGAAGCTTTTCTGGAGGGAAGCCTTTCTTGGAAAGTTTTCTTGAGCCTTTTTGGGGCCTGCTTAAAGTTTTCTTTACATCGTTGACTGGTCTCTGTGTCATCAATCCCGACACGCTCCGCACATTCTCGGATACAGGCTGCGCAGCGGGCACGGCATTGACAGTTAAAAAACCTTCACTCTAACTCAGTACATGAAGAAACTAAAATCTAAATTACATGTTTTCTGTTATTTTTTAAATGAATAACTGGGTCTTAACATTCAAAAACTGCTACCTGAATAAATCATCCCAAATAAGCCAATGGCTCTCAAGCCATGCATGCCTAAAAGCAGAACCAGTCAAACAATGCCCTCCTTGTCTTTGTTGGTGGAGCTGCAAAGCCCACTTCATGCTGCTGAGTTACACTTTTTATGCCCCTTTGAGTTCAAGCCACTGCCCAATAAACAATACTTTTTCCCCTCCACTGCTAAAGACTGAACCCAGGGTCTTGTACATTCTAAGAAAACACTAGCACTGTGCTATGGTCCCAGCCCATAATCTGGGGCTCAAATCAATTCTGTAAATGCAATTGGTTTGAAATTTCCAACTAAGGTCAACATTGCAAAGAGGAGTTAAATTCCAGGAAGTTGGAGCTGAAGCTGAGGGTGGTAAATTAGGTGGATGAAAACCTGTTAGAATAAACTGAAGACACCTGGGAGGCAAAGGCAGATGGATCTATGTGAGATCGAGACCAGCCTGCCTACAAGAGCTAGTTCCAGGACAAGCTCCAAAGCGACACAGAGAAACCCTGTCTCGGAAAAAATAAACAAACAAACAAACAAATAAACTGAAGAATGCTAAGGACACACCTGGGACAATAGAACTACGGAATACAGCTGCTTCTAAATAACCACAAAAAAAAGCTTATTATTAATTATAAATGCTTGGCTAATAGCTCAGGTTTGTTACTAGCTCTTACATTTAAATTAAACCATATTTCTTATCTACACCTTGCCACATAGCTTGGTACCTTTTCTCAGTAAGGGATGCCCATCTTGCTTCTCTCTGCATCTCTTGGAACTTCCAGACTCTACCCTCCTTCTTCCCACCATCCTCTGTGTCTTGCCATCCAGCCTATACCTCCTGCCTAGCTATTGGCCAGTCAGCTCTTTTATTAAACCAATCAGAAGGCACCTTGGCAAAGACTCATCTTCACAGTGCACAAAAAGATTATTTCATAACAGAAGCTTACATCTGAGTCTTCCCAATGTAAAAAAACAAGAGGCTGGAGGATGTCTCAAAGGAATGCTTGCTAAATTCCGTCTCCTAAAGAGATATACAAACTCATAACACCTGTCAATGTGATGCCCTCTGGAAAGGAGGTCCCTACAGATGCAATCAAGTGAGGTCATGCCTGTAGAGGTGTTCCCAAATGTGATTATTGGTTCCTTATAAGAAAGGGAAAATGTACACACACACACACACACACACACACACACACACACACACACACACTAAATACCACATGACCATGAAAGCAGAGTTTAGGGGAGTGTATCAAGGACTCTCTAATGTGGCTAGCCACTGTCAAATGATAGGAACAAGCTAAGAAGGCTCCTTCCCTGATGCCATTAGCTAAAGCCTGGTGCACAACAGAACTGATTTCAAATGCACACCCTTCGGGATTCTGACAGAGATTTAATTATCTTGAGGTGTAAAGTCTGCACTGTGTTGTCGGAGCAGCCTTAGGAATGTGATTCTTAAGGAAAGCCTGGTTGAATTAGGATCATCCTGTTTTGTAGTTTCCCTTGCTGCAACAATCTTCCTGAGGCTAAGATTGTGTCTGATTCATTCATCATTTACCCAGCTCCGGGAGCAATGGATGCCTGACCATGGACACAGTGTGCAAATGAGTGAGCAAACAAGAAAAGTATTACTTGAAGGAACAGGGTTCTTATTCAGAAAGTCATCAAAACATAACAGAGAAGAGTGCTTTTGCGTAGGCCAAAGCATCAGGTGAAAAATTCTGCTTAATTTTTTTTGATAGGGTCTACAACAGCTGATGAATGACAAAGTTCTTTCCAAACAGATCTGAGTTTAAACATCTTCTTCCGATTATTTAAATTCAAAGGGACATATTACAAGGTGATCTTGATTCCAAACTTGCTCAAAACACAATAGGTGATATTACAACTCCATTTGCATGGTTCATGTCTAACAAGATCAGCAGGTAACAGCTGGAAACCTTTGTTAGCTCCATGAGAATTAGGAGCAATGCTGGGCACTTCACTGCTGGAACCCAGGAAGACAGGGAATCCATGTGCTGTCCTGTCCAGGCAGATTTAAAAGAAGCTCTTCTTAAGCTCTTCTATGAACTTCTCATCCTCCAAAGGTTTCCTCTGGCTGCCAGGCTGTAGAAATTTCTTCACTGTGGGGAGGCTGCTGACTCTGGTTTTCAGGGCCTGCAATATAAAACCTCAAAGTGAGGCCCAAAGCAGCATATCCCAGGAAATCTGGGCCCTGTCCTGAACAACACAAAATAACTCCCTTTAGGCACGTGTGGGGAGAGCCGCGGGAACAGATACTAGAGGCAAGAAGTGAGAAATAAGGCTGAGCAGCACTTCCTTCTCAGCACACCCTGAAGACTTTATCTAGCCTCGGCCATCCCCACCTTCCTTCTTGCCCTTTAACCATACAGAGTCACCCCTAGTGTAAAGGAAAATGAAGAGAAGTGTCAGACAGACGCCAACACTGAGAAACCCTCAACAGTTGAAACCAAGATGCCAAGGATGAGTGATGATGAATTAGACCAGGAAAATCAGAGTCCAGACTTAAGGGTCCTATCACAGTGAGATGTGAAGAGGGGGGGTTTCTGGGTCGGAGGAGTATGTACCCACGCTGAGAGAAATACAATGTCTGCTAACGGGGGCTGAATCTGAAAGGCAGAAACCAGATGGGAAGAGAGCTGCTAAGCTAAGACTTGGTGCCCAATGACAGGTACATCTGTGGTCAGGGGAATCCCAGAGAAATCAGGGTCTGAACCCACAGTGGAAAGGCGGCGTGGGGAGACAGCTGAGTGTTAGCATTTGTTCATTATACGACGTGAAATTATACTTGTTGAGGTTGTGTCTATGCCGAATTTCCGGGTACAGCAGGACTCCCTTTCCCACTCCAGAAACAGGCCTGGAAGATCATTTTCCAGCTGATGCAGGAGGACTGAAGATTGGATACGACTGAGGCCAGATGCCAGCCCCCCACCAGTACTCGAAGACTTCTGCAGGATCTGCGGGCTGACTGAGGGACCCAGCTATTTCACCTGAAGCAGGGGGAAGTTGGCCACAATGCTGTCATTCAGCTCCTCCACGTGGTAGAGAAGTTCGACCACGTGAATGTCGGCCCTGCTCAGCCTGTTCCCAACAAGGTAGTCTTGGCCATGGCTCTTCAACACCTGCAGAATTTAGGAAATTCGACCTCTGAACATAAACAATCAAACTGGAACAAAAGTATTTCCCTGACTTTTTCAGCCAAGTTCTCCCCCTTCTACAGCCTCCTGAAGGAAGTGCAGAGTCCTAGACCTCTCTTTAGGACCCTGACATGAAGGATGGGGAGACATGAGGTCTGCTCTCTCTCTAGGAACCTGACAACTTTCACGGCAGGACCATACATCCATGAGTGGGCCTTTTTTTTTTTTTTGTCTATAGTTCTGCTCTTGTCTGTTTGCTCGTCTTTCACGTGTCTCTGGGACCTAAGGTCAACTTGAGGGACTGAGGCGATAGCTTAGCTGGCCAAGTGCCTGGTAACAAAGCATAATGACCTGATCTCTGATCCCCAGAATCCGCTTTTTAACTGGGACATGGGGCTGGACCAATGGTTTGGCAGTTTAGGGCATTAGCTGCTCTTTTGGAAGTTCTGGGTTCAATTCCCAGCACCCACATGGTGGCTCACAACTATTTCTAACTGTAGTCCCATGAGATCAGAGGCTGTCTTCCAAAGTGCAGATATACATGTAGACAAAAATAAATCCATATACATAAAAATAAATGATTTTTAAAAAGCAGAACATGAGCCAGGTGGTGGTGGCGCACGCCGTTAATCCCAGCACTCGGGAGGCAGAGGCAGGCGGATCTCTGTGAGTTCGAGGCCAGGTAGGACCGACAGCCTCCAAAACAATACAGAGAAATCCTGTCTCGTAAAACCAAAAAAAAAAAAAAAAAAAAAGCGGGACATGATGGTACATGTTTGTACTTTTGCTTTGGGTTTTTTGTTTGCTTGTTTTGTTTTGTTTTTGTTTTTCCAGACAGAGTTTTTCTGTGTAGCCATGGCTGCCCTGGAACTCACTCTATAGACCAGGCTGGACTCAGACTCACAGAGATCTTGCCTCTGCAGTGCTGGGATTCAAGGTGTGTACCATCACCACCCAGCTCAGTAGTGGTACACGCTTGTAACCTCAGCCTTGGGAGATGTAGCAGACACAGGCAGGTCCCTGAAGTTCCTGGCCAGCCAGCCTAGCAGAGCGATAAGCTTCAAGTTCAGTTTTAAAATAAAGGTGTAAAGTGATTGAGGAGAGACAATTGGTAGCAGCCTTGGGCCTCCAGCTGCATGCATATACACACACACCATGTGCAAACATATCTCTCATACTCACATACTCACACTGAAATAAAGACAAGTGGAACCATCATCTTGGCAACACTGGGTTTCATTCTTAGCACTGTGGCACAATCAGCATGCTGAAGTATGGAAGATGAGCTGAACTTATGTCTGTAACTGAGAATGTGCTTTATGGGCGGAGAGTGGGATGCAGGGATGGACGCAGATGATGAGACAACCCCACAGGATGTCAAATCTCCTCCATCCATGGGGAGTATCTATGTGGCCTCTAAAATGTCTCTCAACTTTTCTTATTGGAAGAAAGTTACATGACAACTGGGAAAGACTAATACATGATATTTCAGATCTATGAATAAAAGAAAACCAAAACACATGGGAATATCAGTTAAAGATATCTCAGACATACTATAAGATAATAAATAAAAAATAAGTATGAATAATTGTTTAGTATAAACACAAAACACAAGCTAATTCTTTTACACTTATTATGCCTCTCTCTCTCCCTCTCTCTCTCTCCCTCTCTCTCTCCCTCTCTCTCCCTCCCTCCCTCCCTCCCTCCCTCCCTCCCTCCCTCCCTCCCTCCCTCCCTCTCTCTCTCTCTCTCTCTCTCTCTCTCTCTCTCTCTCTCTCTCTCTCTCTCTCTCTCTCTCTGCCACAGCACCTGTGTGGAGATCAGAGGACAATCCAAAAGAACATGGTTTTTTCGCTCCACCACATGGGTCCCAAGGATCAAATTCTAGATAAATCATTTTTTTTCTGAAAACAGGGAGCTCTGGCATAAATAGAGAAATGCTTCTACATAATACCTTTAGAACTGGGGTACTAGACTAATATTAATAGAAGTCCTTTGGAAAGGAAAGTTGATACTTTCCTGTCTTTGTTGAGCTGAATGTCTGGATTCCCCCAAAATTCATAAACTGAGATTCTAATTCATGATCTCATGATATGATGCAATTTGTAGGTGGGACATTTGAGAAATAATCATATGCTCTCATGAATGACATTCTCTCTCTCTCTGTCTCTCTCTCTGTCTCTCTCTGTCTCTGTCTCTCTCTCTCTGTCTCTCTCTCTCTCTCTCTCTCTCTGTCTCTCTCTCTCTCTCCTTGAGATGGTATCTCATGTAGCCAAAGTAGCTGAGGATGATCTTGAACTTGTTCTTCCTGGCCCTACCTCCTGAGTGCAAGGATTACAGGTGTGGGGGGTGGTATATGTTCCACCATACCTGAATTATGTGGTGCTGGAAATAGAACCCATGGCTTTGTCCATGCTAGGCAAGTATTCTACCAGCTGAGCTGCAGCCCAGGTTTCCTATTTTTGTGATTATAATGGTGCCTCTGAGAGCTCCCTTGAGCCATCTGCTATGTGATGACATGACCAGAAGTCAACCATCCATCAACCAAGAAGCAAGGCCCTGCAAGAAAGGCCTCAACCAGAGCCTTATACTTCTCAGCCCCCAGATTTATGGGAAATAAGTATTTTTGTATATGAATAAGCCACTTAGTGGCATTTTTGTTGTTGAAGCCCTAAATTAGAAGGCGCTCTCTGAAGACTATGATGTCCTCTAAACTGAGAGCTCTTGATGGTGACACAGCCTCCACTTACCTCTTCAAAGGCAGGAAAATAACACTTCCTTGCTTTCCGTGTGATCTGGGCAAGGCCTGCATCCTTCTCCCCAGGTAGAAGGAATGGATAGCGAATAAGCATTTCATTCAGATCAACCGTACCTTCTGTGTACATGTCAATCCTGAAAGATAAAATTCTCTCTCAAATACTTCCTTCCTGTCCTGCACTCATTGTTTAAAAACCTGGGATGGGGCTGGAAAGATGGCTCAGTGATTAAAAACCTAAAAGGAGACAACTCGAATCGTGGCCAAGAAAAATTACCTGTGGTGGGACCTCCAACTATCGCTCATAGGTTAACACTTGTTTCTTAGGTATACAGGGGAGAAGACATTTGTGAAGCTTTGTTAACCAGGTAACTAAGCACAGGCAGAGAACATCAGCAATCCATCTGAGTCAATGAGTCAGTACTCAGAGAATGTGGCATCCATAACCACGAACCCTGCAAAGAGGGCTAGCTGTTGGCCGTGGCATGTTCTATGCCACACAGATCATCAGAATCCCCGGCACAGCTGTTGAGACTCTGATGTCCCTCCCTAACCCTATCGAGTGGCTTAGGCTCATTACAGCCCTAATGTTGAAGCTCTCTCAATTATTTTCCATAAAACATGGATCCACTACACCCTCTGGCCCTGTCATTCAATTCCAGCAATACTTGAATTTCTTGAGTCTCCACTTAAAATAGCACATCACTAAATGCTGGGTTTTTTTTTTTTATGGTCACAGGTGTGGGGCACAGGAAAGATTCAATGAAATTTGAAACGAAGTTGATAAACTACTTTTTAAAAATACTCAGTTTGTTGAGATATGTTCATAGCCATAACTGTCACCCAAGCATCCTATTCAGTGCTTTTCTGTATGTTCACTGAAGTCGGTAAGGACAACACTCTCCAGTCTCATACTTTTTAACCACTCTGGGTAATAATAAGCCAAGTCTAAGCCCCTCCCACCGACTCTAGACAGCCTCTACTCTGCTTTCTGTCTCCATGGATTTGAGTCCTCTGGACATTTTAAACAAAAGAAAGCATGGAATGTGTGGCACACTGTGTCTGATCTCTTATGTGACAGAATGTCCAGGTTTATCTGTGTCATCTCATGAGTCTGCCCTCTCCTCTGTGCAGTTATAATTCATTGTGTGGCTGGACAGCACTTTCCTCATGCGTTCATCTGTGGGACATTTTGCACTTTTTAATTATTAGCAGTACAGCTGGGAACACTTGGAAATAACCAAAACCACCTGGCAGTAGTTGTGCACGCCTTGAATTCCAGCACTCGGGAGGCAGAAGCAGGTGGATCTCTGTGAGTTCGTGGCCAGCCTGGTCTACAAAGCTACACAGAGAAACCTGGTCTTGGAAAAACAAAGAAAAAGGAAGAAGGAAGGAAGGAAGGAAGGAAGGAAGGAAGGAAGGAAGGAAGGAGGAAGGGAAGGAAGGAAGGAAGGAAGAAAACCAAGGATGCATGCTCATTTCTCTGGGGTATATTTCTCATGGAATTTCTGGGTCATTCATCCATGTCTAACCTTTCAAATTGCAGAATCTTGCCTCTAAAGACTCAGTAGACGGAATCAGGACTCCACCATCCTGACTTCATAGTTCCTTAGAGTTTCCAAAGCCCAGATGACATGCTAAATCCAAAAGCTCTATGCTGCTGTATAATCATAGGTCTCTGTATCCATGAACTCATAGCTCTCTAAGGGCAGCTAGCTATACTATTCCCTCTCCATGGGAGTCTCCCTGCTTGATGTCAGTGCTGGTTGTGATCCCCCTACCACAGTTGTGCTCACTCAAGATGGGACTTAAATTCTTCTCATGTTATCTGTTCATAAGTACAGGAAACTCATCATACAGGGCTCTCTCCTTCATGTCCTTCCCATAGAGGTTGTATTTGGAGGCAATGTAGTTGAGAATGGCTCTGGTCTGCACCAGCTTCATCCCGTCAATCTCCACCATGGGCACTTGCTGGAACATCAAACTCCCATCTATTGGATGAAGCAAAGAAAAGAAGAACAAATTGTCTATGGCTCAGATATGTTCAAAGAAAAATACATGTGGGAGCCTTTCAAGTTTTATTTTTTGCTTCCTAGTCCTTCTTTTTTCTAATTTTAAATTTTAATTTATTTTTTTAAATTGTGTGTGTGTGTGTTTTGCCCCGTGCATCTCTATATACCACAGATATGCCTGTTACCCATGGAAATTAGAATGGGGCATCAGATCACCTGCAACTGGAGTTGCAGATAGTTGTGGGCTCCCTTGTGGGTCCAGGGAATCAAACATGGTTCCTCTGTAAGAGCAGCAAACTAGCCCCTGCCCCCCCTTTTTAAAGTTTTTTTGAGACAAGGTTTCTCTGCATAGCTTTGGCTGTCCTGGAACTCACTCTGGAGACTTGGCTGGCCTCAAACTCAGAGAGATCCGCCTGCTTCTGACTCTGGAGTGCTGGGATTAAAGGTGTACACCACCACTGACTGGCTTAGCTCCCCCTCTTTTTTGTTTGTTTGTTTTTTGAGACAGGGTTTCTCTGTGAAGCTTTGGATGCTGTCCTGGAACTTGCTTTTTAGACCAGGCTGGCCTCGAACTCACAGAGATCCACCTGCCTCTGCCTCCTGAGTGCTGGGATTAAATGCGTGCACCATCAGCACCGCCCCCCCCCTATTTTTTTTTTAAGGCTTATTTTTCTTTTAGCCTGAAATTTAGCATTGGTGTTTTCTCCATCTACATATGCTGTTGGTCTCTGTAGTTTTTAACTTAATTCATCTTCATGGATATTTTAAGAAGCAGTTAAGGAAGATGTAGGACCTCCCTTACTTCAAGGTCAGCTCACAGAGGGGATTTCTAGGTAGGGTCTCTGTATGCTGTTAAACTAGCATCGTGGGACATTGAGTCCTAGGTAAGCTTTTTGACATCCCCCTCTCCCACCACCCCCTCCCTCCCTCCCTCCCTCCTGCACTCTCACTTAGACTTTCAAATCATACAGTACTATTTCATTATCAACCTACAATATTACTGAGAAGTCACTTTTAAAGCCTGTCAGAGAATGAAAGGTAAGTAAGTGCTGCCTCTAGTTTTGCTTCTGTCCCTGCTTGTACCCGGATGGAGGGTACTGTAGGATTCCAAGCTACTACAGCCAATTGTGGTACAGAACACATGAAAAGGAGAGATCATTCCTGGGGTCCTGGGGATGGCTCCTCAGTAAACACCCAGAGCCCTTTGAAGCTCAGGGAAGGTTGCTAGGTCTGCCAAAGGAGACTCCTCTCTTACGGATTACCACTCTGCCTCTCTGTCATCCCACGAAAGCCCTACAAGTACATAGATAGAATCTGCTATTTAAACTCGACATGGAGGACCCTGCTCAGAGACACTTAGACAGTGTGGTAGTTTGAATGTAACTGGCCCTTATACACTCACAGGAAGTCACACTATTAGGAGGTGTGGCCTTGTTGGAGAAGTATGTTACTGTGGGCATGGGCCTTGAGGTCTTATATATGATCAGGCCATGCCTAATGTCTCAGTTCACTTCCTGTTGCCTGCAGGAATCAAGATGTAGCTCTGAAATTGTAAGACAGTGAAATTAAATGTTTTCCTTTATAAGAGTAGCCCTGGGGGGAGGGCACGGGAGGAGGGGAGGGGATGGGAGAGGGACCTGGAACTGACTTGTGAAGCAACCTCGTTTCTTATCTAAATTTAAACTGGAAAATAAAATATAAAAAAAAAGAGTAGCCCTGGTCATGATGTCTCTTCACAGCAATAGAAACCCTAAGACAGACATTAATTCTTACCATCTTTTAGTCTTTTCAAGTCTTTTTGTGTTTTAATGAATTTTTCTTCAAACTGCAAATCAAAAAATAGTACATGAGTTCCTGTTTATCATGCACTGTTTTTGAGCTCTCAACATGACAGCACCTGTGTATGCAGAGTGGAGAGAAACTTGTTTAGCAGGAACACTGATAGCCATGCAGAAACTGATGACAGACATAAAGAAACAGAGACAGAGGAAGTGCACACACAGCCCCTCACTCTTACTGCTCACCTCCTCCATGACCACACCCATGTCTGTGACGAGATCATGGCACTGGAGGAATCGTACTGGATGGAAGAGACTTGAGAATTTCTCTAATCACATCGCAGGGAGCTCTGTGGCTGAGAGAACAGAACTTTCTGTGTCTCTACCATGGGATGTGGTGAGAACCAACAAACATCTAACTTTGTACCACTAACAGGCCTCTGCTGGAATTGATGGCACTTCACCGTCAGGTGAAGCAAAATGGTCTTACTTGATACGTAACTTCAACTTTTTAGAAACTGTTACACAACTGCCTCCCCTGGAAAAGATGGGGTGCACTAAGATAGACTTCCACACTTAAGGCAAGAATCAAAGAGTTGCCACATGAAGGTACCTTTGATTTCTGATATGACCATGGAAGGTGAAATGGTGCCTTTGTGAGATGACATTGATTCATTACTAAACTTTGTGGCTTAGTAACCTAGTGTTTAAGTTAGTATAAGGACTAAGTCACTATGTATGTATATAACTTAGGAAAGTTCCAGGTTTCCACTAAGTGTTAGATAGATGTTAAGTCATCATTGGGATTTAATAGGTACTGTTACTTCATCATATAATCCCATATTTTTTTCTTTAAATCATTCTAATACAGCTTGGCCTTGATCTGTATACAGTCATTTAGACCCTGTTCTGAGAAAAGGCACTTGGGTTGGAATGGCAGCCGGTAGTGGAGATGTCTCTGTCTGACCAGAAGTTCCATATGGTAAGATAACATCAAGATGAAAACCAGTTCTTATTTAACATACCTTATTCAGTGGGCAGACTCTCTCTCCACCCAAAAGATCATCAGGACTGTCATCAAGCTCTTTGGATTTCATTGCTGGGTTCTGGTTGCAAATGACACTCTGCCTCATACACACTAAGTGATCTAAGAAGTCACTTGGCTCCAGCAAGCCTTTGGTTGTTCTTTAAAACAGGGACAGATCACTTCCTTAAACAGACTGATGTAGCGTTGCCAAAACACATCATAGTGGGCCAGGCCCACATAAGCCAAGCCGTAAGCAACACTGGTGTAGGTAATGGCCATTTTATTTTTATGGAGTTCCTTGTAGAGAAAAGTCAGAGCTTGGGGGTCCCTAGCATGCTGTGAAGAACAGCATCTTGTGTCTCTACATGGTCATACAGGTCATGTTACAGAGACACTAAGGGGATGTGTGCAGTCACTTTACCAGGCATTCATTCAAGTAAAACATAACTGACAGCCTGGCCATTGCAGGAGGGTGGTAGGGTGGAATGCAGTTGGCTAGTATGTGCTAATGTGGTCTGGTGGTGAATACTGGGTCTGGAATGATCACTACTGGGGCACGGGGAACCCAGAAGGCCTAAGCAAATGTCTACAGACAGTCTTGAACACCGTCCTCTTCAGTCACAACTGGGATGGAGAATGGGAAACCATAGGCTACTCCCACGGACTATAGTTTTTGAACTTATGCTGCCCACAGGAACATATTCCTGTACCATATACCTGGCATCTAACCTGTGTTGAAACCAGATTGTTCTTTTGCAAAAGCACAACAACCTAGAATGGCACTGGAGTTTATGTTTATCTCATGCTTCTTTCTTCATGAAATCAAGAAAGGATCAGGGCAAACTTCATCCATTCATGACACAATGGAGAAAATTCAATCCCAAGACATAGGCAAACTCACGGCCAAGAGATGCTCTCCTAAAGGGCTGTGACCTCACTTCTTTTTTTTTTTTTTTTTTTTTTGATTTTTACGAGACAGGGTTTCTCTGTATTGTTTTGGAGGCTGTCGGTCCAGCCCAGACTCGAACTCACAGAGATCCTCCTGCCTCTGCCTCCCGAGTGCTGGGATTAAAGGCGTGCGCCACCACTGCCCTGCATGACCTCACTTCTTAACGTTTCTCTTTTACACTCATATGAGGGACAAGATGTGAGAGTGTCCATGACCCTCACAATGCTGGGTCCTTCTGATCTGAGACACCTCTAGGGGGCAGTGCCATAGTGCAAAGATCCTTACCAGGTTCCTTCATAGGTGGTAGGAATCCTGTCAAACATTTGACCCTGTCTTCCTAGATATAGAAGCCATCATATCACAGGAACCCATCTGTCCTTGTCAACCTATATCCCCCAGTACATTGGCACAGAGTAGATGCTGCAGCTTCTAACAGGTAGCTACTACCCTCATCTACCCATGTCTCATTTGTGTTATGCATTTTCACCATAATTGTGTTTCTTTTCCAATAGTATACACCTTAATTATTTTATTATGCAAATTTATCAAATGCATAAACATACAGAAAATCATATTGCTGTTCTTTGCACCCCACATCTACCTTCAACAGTCATCCTGAGCAGACAGGCTTTCCTGTACACACCCCACCCTCCTTCCCTCTTCTGTAATATCGTGAAGGAATCTCAGCAACGATGCGCAGCCATGGCTGCCATTACAATGTTCAGTCCAACATGGCTGTCTACTCAAGTTTGCCCCATTGTGGTACAACTGAAGTACTCCTGTTGTTTGGTGGATACCAGCTGAAGAAGAATAAGAGAACAAAGACATTGAAGAAGAAAATGATCCCCTAGGAAAATCCCAGTGAGGGGAGTAGTGGAGAATTTTAAGAACTTAAAGGTTCCTCTCCTTGTCAATCATACGCGGGCTGTGGATCAAGCCTTTACCACATGAACCTTTCTGTATGCTATAGTTCAAACTATAGCATATAGAAATGTCCTACAGGGACATCCACTTAGTCCTCATTCGTTGCCTCAGACCAGTGTCCAGTCTGATAAGCCCTCCACATGGCTAAATGTCCTAAGTAGATGCACCTTCTGTGTCTTTGAAATCATAACTTCTCTGTGCCTTTTTTATGCTTAGGTTTGCTTACGTACACAAGTGTTTATCATTGTGTTACAGTTGCCTACCATATTCAGTATCGTGGCATGCTGCATTGAGTGTATGACCTAGGAACATAGGCTATACTGTGTAGCATAGGCAGTAGGCCACAATCCAGATTTTTGTCTAAGAACATTCCATGAACTTTGCACAATGAAGGTGGTGAGTGAGTGACCGTGAGATGACTCGTTGGGTGAAGGTGCCTGCTGCTAAGACTGACGATCTGAGTTCTAGCCCTCGAACCTACATGGTGGAAGGAGAGAATTTACTTTCACAAGATGTCATCCAACCTACACACATGCACACATACCATGCCATGTGCATACTCACACACACATACAAATAGTAGCAAATGCATAGAATTATATAAATTTATGAGTGATACATTTTTCAGAATGTACATCTATTACTAATAAATATATAACCATCTTTCATAGTAGAATAATTGTTTCTCCAAAGCATAGGAATTATGTGAAAAAATCTAATATACAATCATAAAAACAACAGTAATTTATTATCATCACTCAGTACCCACATCTCTGTTACTTAGATGACACAGATTATTTTTCAGTTTGTTTCAATAAAAATAAGGTCCATAAAAGTGATATATTTCTTGTTTATTTTGAAATTATACAACTTTATAAGAAAGGTCTAATGATTTCTTAGGATAAGCCTGTAAATCTCTTTTTGTTTGTTTGTTTGTTTTTTGGTTTTTCGAGACAGGGTTTCTCTGTGGCTTTGGAGGCTGTCCTGGAACTAGCTCTTGTAGACCAGGCTGGCCTCGAACTCACAGAGATCCGCCTGCCTCTGCCTCCCAAGTGCTGGGATTAAAGGCGTGCGCCACCAACGCCTAGCCAAGCCTGTAAATCTCTTAATAATTGGAATTTCAAACCATAACTCTTAATAAATCCTTCAGTGAGAAACATCATCAGGCTTATGTGAGGAAAGTATGTCATTCAGTCAACTCAGATGCAACTTTAGATGGCTCATCTTAGAACCTACCTCTACTCCAGCTGCAGCCAAGAGCCAGCGGACAGACTCCATTCTGCCCCGTGAATTGAAGTAGTGAAGGATGGGCTTGCTTGCCATGGCTGTTGCCTCTTTGTTTCTCTAAACAAGAATGAATAAAAGAGACCATGTGAAAATGCATTTTATGATAGATGCGTGGATAGTATCAACTAGAATAAGGAAATCTCTTCCTTTTTATGACAGGTATACATGTTCCCAGATTTGGTCCATACTGTTACCCAGCAACAGCACTGGTGAAAAAAAACCAAGCTGGTCTCAGGTTATCATTGGTTAAAACGCTTCTGCTCTTGGCAGGCTAACAGGCGGGCACTTGAGGCCATACCTGTGTGAGACTTAGTGAGAAAAGGAAGAATCAGAGAACTCAAATACATTGAACACTTCTGAATGTCTCCAATAGCTTCTTGATACAAGTCTTTATTATTCATGGTTTACCTGTGAAGATGCTATTATCTCTACATGGCAATTAATGAAACTGAATGTTAGAGATGTCAAATGCAATGTCTACTAAAGCCCACAACAGACATGAAAATTCAGTGAACACAAAAAGCAGAATGGTGTGGAACCCACAGTAGTGAAGGCCCAAGAAACTTGTCAACGCCTTGACAAAAGCAAAACCTGGGCCTCAAGAACCATTCAACCGAGCAGGTATAATATCCTAGCTGCAAAAGGTCTACCGTGCTGCTTCCTGGCCTTTTATCGGTGATGTCCCCCGATTTGAAGGCTCTGACAAGCTCCTACCATCTTTCTTCATTAGACTCTGTGTCCTACCTTTAATGCTTCAGTTCCATTGTATAATCAAGCCAAAAAGGGATGTCGCTGACTTAATATTACAGTATACAAAAAGGACCCAACAGTTCTTCATTATCAGATAAGCAATGGGTAGTCTCACCAATTTGTCTTTATTTTGCTCTAAAAAGATCACCTAAGAGGTATATTTATTTCACAGATGGATTCTGGGGAGACTTGCTCAAATGAAGGCAGTGCTAGTGGTGCTCAAAACAACTTGTGGCAAGCCTCAAAGAAACAGAAAGGAACAGGGGATAGTGGAGTGCAGAAAAATAATACATGGTGAGTCTTCAGCTTCACTTACATGTATACGGCGCATGTGTGTACACATGTACATGCTCAATCATTATAAATGATAATACACATATTGACTGAGTCCAGTCAAGGCAGTCTGACAGCCCCTGCTCTATCCAGGCTGCTTGGCAGGCAGAACAAAGCAAAGAATCAGAACATGAAAACCAACAGCTCCCGGCATGGACATAACTAACAGTATCGTGATAATACGAGTAAAAGGCTCATTGAAAGGAAGAGTACAAACACTGAAACCTGGAAGAAACAGCTCTACTTTCCTCCTGATCTGAGGCACTTATAAAAACATTTAGATTTACCAGATCTAGATCTAAATGATATATACACAAACACACACACACACACACACACACACACACACATATATGTGTGCATATATATATATATTTAAAAACACAAATGCGCCGGGCGGTGGTGGCACACGCCTTTAATCCCAGCACTCGGGAGGCAGAGGCAGGAGGATCTCTGTGAGTTCGAGGCCAGGCTGGACCGACAGCCTCCAAAACAATACAGAGAAACCCTGTCTCGTAAAACCAAAAAAAAAAAAAAACCCACAAATGTACAGAGGGACTATTTGTGAGAAGGAATGAGTCCAATTGGGAGGGGCAGTGAGGGGGAAATACAAACCAAGTACAAGAATGTGTGCGTGCGTGCACTCGTGTGTGTGTGTGTGTGTGTGTGTGTGTGTGTGTGTGTGTGTGTGAGAGAGAGAGAGAGAGAGAGAAATCTACCTACCAAAACTCACTATTTTACATGCCAACTAAAAGTTAAAGGTTTTTTTTAATTAAAGAAAAATTCTTACATGTTTATTTTTAGATAAAAACCACACAACACACTGGCTTTACCTACATACATCTTTCTGAGAAAGTGTGTGACTTCAATGATAGAAATCCAATTTAAAAAGCACTTATTTTTAAATGTGCAACTACAAAATAAAGTATAAAACACTCCAAAACACACAACTCACTTGTCTTATAACTGTAGGTCATCGTGAATACTGTACTTTCTTATCAGGGTAGTGGGGGTGGCTTGATTGAGCAGAGGGAACGGAGAGTGACGTCACACTGCTTGAGGCACAGGTAAGTATTAGGGATGAAGAGCCAGGAGATTCAGCCCCTGCAATACTGCTCAGGGGGTCCCTGACTGAGGATCACGTTACAGAGGGAAATGAAGGCGTATCTTATGAAATATTTTACCAAATGTTCCTTACTGTTTCTCAAAGTGAGGTTGCCAAAGGCCAGGACAAAACTAGGATAAAGGTTACTAAAAAGTTTTGTTGGGTAAACAGAAAATGAGACAGAGAGATGAGCGGTGGTTGTAGGTGGAGTATACAATCCTCACTCATAGTACCGGGGAGTAATTCTGCTTCTGCAACCACCACGGCAATAGCCCCTGATATTTTACTTACAGAGAACTAACCTGCCCATGCTCTCACAATGAATGCCAAGGCAGGGTTGCTCTACTCCACTCTGGAGCCTGCTTGAGCTCTGTGCTGCCCTCTGAGGACCTCCGCTAGTCAGGATCCTTCAGCCTGGAGGGTGCAAGGAGAGCAGCTAATTTGTGAGTGCCTTTTTGTGAACGGCCTTTCAACCACATGATGGGAGATGGGAGATGAAATCACTAACAAGTACACACTGTGGTACTTTGACAACCCAAAACTGAATTGGAGAATACAATAACAGTATTTGCCTAACTAAGAAAATGGAGTTGGGAGAAGTTGGAGGTGGCTCAGAACTTTAAAACAGGTTAAATCACAGTTTGATTGCCAGCATGAAAGTCAGATGGCTCACAGCCACCTGTAACTACAGCTCCAGGAGATCTGATGCCCTCTTCTGTCTCATGAATCACAAATGGATATTCCCCAAAATACATAAACAGACATAAATAAACATATGATACATCTTTTTATAAAGAAAATAGATAGGGGGGCAGGTGAACCATAGCTCAGTAGTAGGACCCTTGCCTAGCATTTATGAGGCCTAGATTTAATTTCTAAGTACTACAAAAAGGAGAGGGGAGACTTGTCCTTAAAGAAATATAATCAATGACAAGTCTAGCAAATTAAGAAAACTATGTCTCTGAGTTGTCCAAAAACACTGGGGTATGAGTGCCATATATTACAGGGTGAAACTCTTCCATTTGGGGGTATATAAACTCCAATAGATTGTCTAATATCTGACTTGCATTTTCTCTTGTAAAAGCACTTTATAATTTAGTTTTGGGGCTGGAGAGATGGCTCAGAGGTTAAGAGCACTGACTGCTCTTCCAGGGGTTCTGAGTTAAATTCCCAGCAACTACATGGTGGCTCACAGCCATCTACAATTCAGTTCCATGCCCTCTTCTGGCATGTAGGCAGAACAGTGTATATGTAATAAATAAATAAATCTTTTAAAAATACTTTTTAGGGCTATTGAGAATTAACAATGAACTAAGATGCATATAATACTGATGACTGTCATAAAAGGCCAGTCACAGCTCCCCAGATCTGGGAAGATGGGTGCATGTATACCCTGCTAGCCCAGGTGAGGCTGGACATAGGCACCCACCTCTTCCTGGGGCATGGAGAAGGTGTTCAGCACTGTCCAGTGTTGCTAAATATTCAGTACTAATTAAGTGTCAATAAAAATATCACTCCTGCATCCAGCTTTCTGATAACCAAAAACTGTAATGCTTTTGATGGATGATTAAAACTGATGAAGGAGGCAGTTTGACAGGCCCTCCCTGCCTTCTGTCTAGGCAGCCTTGAGTGGGGAACTGTACATCAAGCAGTCCCATCACTGGTAACAGGCTGGATGGGGCTTGGGAGCCCAGATGTTTGGGAAACTTTATAACAACTCTAAAACCCTTCAGCAGCTGGAGAGGAAGGCATGTTCCAGCTATGATTCTGCACTCCTGGTAGTCTGCACGTGCCTAGAAAAGTGACACTCCACGCAAGACGAGCTTGGTGAATTCAACATGACCTTGCATAGGCCTCAGTCATTTTTACTAAGGCCAGAGGCAGGGTAGCACACTTCCACTAAGGTCTGAGATTAACACGAACAGCCCTTCATTGTGTCACGACTACAGGGACCTGTGCCAGCACACTTGCCATGGCCCCTTATCTGCCTTTTCCTCAGCTTCCAAGCAGCTGGCCAGCCACACCACAGTCTAAGCGACAGATGCCTCCACATCACTGTTGCTGTGGTATCTAGGCTTCTTATCTATGACCAGTTCAGTCAGGCTACCCCGACAGGAAAAGACCACTCAAGGGGAGCTTTTTATGGACCCTACTATTTGAAAACAAGGTGGGGCAGCACGTGAGAACATCTCACAGAAAAATCGCCAAGTGAAATGAACAATCCAGTCATGTATCCAGAAGGATGTCTGCACAAGGAGGCAAACCTCACATGCAAATGAAGGTTTGTATCTGCACCAATCATAGCATTGCAGCCCCTCTGCTCGGCCACAAGGTGGGGGGGGGGGTTGTTCTCTGGCCTAGGTGAAAATGATTGCTGCAATTCTTGGGTAGTTTCCTGGAGGTGTCTGTAGAGAGCTCAAAAGGAGAGAGTTGGCCGGAAAGACTATAGCTGTTTGGCTGACAGTTCTTTTGTTTAAGGCAGCCAGGACAACAAGAGACATCAAAGTCTTTGCTTATTCCCAGGAACATGAACATGAGAAAGTGTTCTTACAGGAAGAACCTGAGGAGTTAGCATTGATTACTGACTTTTAACAGCTCTCTGAATGATGCGTAACATCTGCCTGGAGCCCCAGGGAGAGGGAAGGTGTCCCACAGCTTTCTCAAAACTATAGGGACTAACTCACAAAATATGAAAGCTCAGCCCCAGTGAGCTCAAAATCTATGGTAGAAACTGATAGTAAATAAGTAATGTCGAAATAATTCAAGGAAAGTCTAAGTTGAGAAAATACAATACAATAGCCGCTGAAGGTAAAAAAAACAGCCTAATGAGAGCCAACAATGTTTATAAAGGTGCCTAGGCGGGGAAGGTCCTGTGAGTCAGGTGGAAAGGGGGAAACATGCAAAAAGTTGCTGCATGGATCAGAGAAAAGTCTAGACACTTGTGTTCACGTATATTTCAGAGAAACAACTCTTTGGTATAAGTACGGTCCTTGCAATGTTTGAGACATACTCACATCGATAATTACTGTTTGTCTGTCTGAAGTCTTAGTTGACTTGAAGTCCTGCATCTTGTCAGGCAATGTAACAAGAAAGTATTCCAGCTCTCCAATGCGCACTTTTTACAAACATTGCCTTCAAGCTAAGCTCAAAATACAGGCTCAGTATATGCCACTGTCTGCATTGTGTTCCGGAAAGCCACACAATTCAGGTTCCTGGAAAAGCCCGCCACATAGACAAAGCAAAATCTAACTGAAATCTTTCAAGCTTTAACTGCAACTTCAGAGGGAGCAGTTACCGGTTCTTTTTGTAAGAGGGGCAGCAGCAGCCGTGAAGGGATGATGGCAGCGGCCTCCCACCGTGGCAATCAGAAGTCATGACGATAAAAGACAGATCTACGTCCAAGGGAACAGCCAGGGTGATGGGGAAAGGAATGGTAGGGATACAGAAAGCAAAGAGTAAAGTGGGAGGGGTCAAAGGGTGAGGTTGAAAAGCTGAGAATGTAGCTCGGTTGGCAGAATGCTTACCTCGCTCAAAGCCAACACTACATAAAACTGGACATGCTGCTCCTTGCCTTGTAGTCCCAGCACTTGAGATGTAGAAGCAGGAGGATCACAAGTTCAAGGCTACCCTTGGCTACTTCAAGTGCAAGGCCAGCAGAGGCTACATGACATCCTGTCTTAAAGAGAGCAGGGAGAGGGACGGGACAGGGGTTGGGGTGGGGGATCCAGAAGGCAGAAAATGAGGGAGGATGGAAGATTAAAAGAGCTATGAGAGCCGTGGAATAAAAACTGCAAGCCCCACCACTTTGAAGAGCTCCAAAGAGTAGTTAATGTTTCAACCGCAAGGGTCTCAAATACTCTATCTAGGCCCAGAAGCCAAGAGCTGCGGAATCCTGAGTTCCTAGAGCCATGCAAGAGTTGTAACACTAGAGGGCGCCACGCGCTGCTGGTCCCACCTGCCTGCAGCCTCTCCTCACTACTGTCAAACACAGAAGACGGGGATACTGACCGGACTTTTAACCTGCACAGGATTTCAAAACAGGTCAAGGCGAAAGGAAGCCAGCCAACTTACTGCTAACAGTGTGGGATATAGCCTGACCATAGAAGCAACACAAAAAGTTGAGTTAGGAGGGCTAGAGAAACGGCTTGGCAGTAAGTTCATGTCGAAATCCCTGGATCCTGTAAATGTGACCCTACTTGGGGAAAAGGTTCCTGAGAGACACTTACGGACTTTCCGATAAGAAGAACTGAATTACCCAGACAAACCTTCAATCCATTGGTAAGTGCCTGGATGAGAGACAGGACAGACACTAACAAGGCAAAGCGGCCGAGGAGAGATTGGAAGGATGCGGCCACATCCCACGCGTTGAGGGACTCTCCCTGGCACCACTCCCAGGGAGCCAAGTAGACGGGCGTGGGGAAGCCACGTGTGGGGCCACTTCCAGCAGCATGGGTGAGGGGTGGCTTAGACGATGACACAGGAAGGGTTTTCTCCTAGAGCTTCCAGAAGACCCACTGACACCTTCACTTGGGACTTCCAGCCTTCACAGATATAAGAATGTTTCCCTGGAGTCATCAAATGTCTATAAATCTACCACCGGCGCCAGACAGACTCATATACATTCCTACAAACCTCTCCTGCTATTCTAGAGCTGCCTTGAAACCAGCGCCAGATACCACAGCACTTTATGCATGGTATCACAATTAGTCTACAAATGAAACGCCATTGTACAACTCTCTTAAAATTTAAAATTCCATTATTCTGCCTCCTCCTTAGCTCTCTAATTTCTCCGGCTATACCATAAAGATTACTAGTCCTAGTCTAGTATTTGAACCTGAGCAAGATCCACATACAGCACCTGAGTGATATGAAGGAATGTATTTTATAGCAATGGATGAATGAAGAGAGACAAGGTCCGGCACAGGCTTTGGGAATGTGCGAGAAATTCCCAGAGCCTGGACCCATGCCCTAGGGTTTCGGTGGATGCTCACAGTGCATTATCTATCACGAGAGATAACTGGACTCACAGGAGTGTGGATGCCAACACAGTGCTTTACGTTCGCTAGGGCTCCGTGGAGAAGCAGAGGACAGACAACTGTCTGAGAAGCTGGAAGGTCGGGAGAATTAAACACGGCCAGGTGAGAAAGATTTGCCAAGTAGGGTCAGGGAGCAACCTGGCCTCTCATCTTCTGAGGGATAGACTGTGCTCGTGCTCGGGAATTGGGAGGGGTGCCAGGAAGCGTCCTGTAGGCAGCACGGAACAGGATTCAAAGGATTTAGAGAAAGAAGTATATTCAGATTGATTTTCGAAAAACTACTCTGGTTCAAATGGAGAAGAGACTAGAGGAAGGGAAACACCCCCATCCCCACCCCTGAGACAGGCTAGGGTGAGGTCCTACATCTGGCTTCAAACGGGTACAACTACCTACGAGCTGTGAAAACCAGGCATAATCTTTAACCGCTCTGACTTGTATTTTTACCTCCTAAGGCTTTAGCCACTACCCTTGAGGTCCCTGGACATGAAAGCCATGTCCCTGTGACGTCTGTATGATTCTGAGAAAATGGGAATCTATGAGCTCACCCTGCAACCTTCACCAAAACCCCAGCTCCGGGACGGTGGAAGGCCGGGTGGCTGGGAGATTTAGGTCGGTAAGAAGTTAGAAATGCAGAACTGTCCGCAGGTGGCATGGGGGAAACTGTGTTGGCACCGTGGTTTACAGTCGGGGAGGGACAGCGAAGGCCTCTTTATTTCTGCACCTTTGCAGGAAAATCCACGGTAAGGAAGTCTGCACCGTGGGATGCATATAAATCATCAGCTCTCCTGGGCCTGAACTGAAGCTAAAGAAAGAAAAGAAAACAGCGGTGGGAAAAGGGAGACACGCAAGCGCAGTACCTCATTCCAGAAGCAAGCTCAGCGCAGGCGCACTCCCGCGATACGGCCCACTTTACCCTGCGGGCCGAGCCGGCCCCGCAGTGCGCATGTGCAGCTCCTTAGGTCCAGCCCCGCCCAGCAGTTTGCGTGCCATTCAGCAACCTAGAAATTCCGTGCGTGCGTGTGACTAGTTCCTGCCGCCTCCTGCCGGGCTGGCTGACGCTGGCAGCAGGTGCATTTCTGGTGCATTGCCAGCTAGATCCCAGAAGGAAGATTTTTAGCAGGAATGAAGTTCTTTCGGGGAGCCCACCCTGGTGGAGCATCTACGGAAGGCAAACAACGTACTGGTTGTCTAAATTCTTCCTGTTTTCCTTGGAGGGAGGTGGCCTTCCAAAAGGTGGAGTAGGATGTCCAGATCAGAGTTCAAGTTGATATGGTTTAAAGCCCGAGTCCCCTTACAGCTTACTGTCTCTAGGATCAGACAGATGTGCGCGTGACCTCAAGACCGTGCGTTTACACTGTGGGACCAGGGATACCAGCCTTCAACGTCCGGGAGGAATGGTACAGAGCGCCAGATTGGGAAAGCATTTTTAATCTTGCGAGTCCAGGGGACTCAGTTCCCAGAAAAGAATCTTAAATTGACATGAAATTGTGCCTCTTGGTAAATTCTTACAACACTCTGGTTTTGCCTTCTAGGCTGAAAATAGTAACCAGGGCGGACGCTCTGCTCTCTAATTATACAATAGCAATCCAGGTATTGAGGGAGGCTCCTGGGTTCTGTGGGGATTCCAAACACAAACGAACTTAATATGTACATTACATCTTGTGACATTCGTTTGCTGAAACTATTCCTTACACACACACACACACACACACACACACACTATTCTGGGAAGCAACGTGACTGTATTTTGAGAATCGGGAAGTCCACACTGATCTTAGGGGATTAATATCAAACCCTTGAAGAGTCACGGGAACAGAGACGGCAAGTCACAGGGATGAGGAGGCTGCGGCATCCTGATGTTTGCCTCTGAGTTCTCCAGGAAACTCCTTCCCACCCTGCTGTGTCCCCCCTCACCCCCAGCCTTGTCTCTCTCCCTAGACAAACAAAACACTTTCCCTACTCAAAATAAACCTTCTTAGTAGTCCTCGTTGTTTCAACAATATGATATGAATAAATGCCTTCCCCTCTGGGAAAGTAATTTTCTTCTTAAGAGATGTGTCTCAGACTAGCTTCTCCAAGATCTCTTTCGCCTGGCCACTAAAAACTAGAAGCTGGAAACAGGTGCACAATGTTTCTCTTAGACACACATTATTTAAGCCATTTTTTAAAATCTCTGCACTGTGAGAATTGCACACTTGCAAACATATGGGGAAGAGGAACTTTTTCAGGCTGAACTTCCAACTGCCAAAACCAGCAAACGTATTTTGCAAACTGATAAACAGGTGCAAACTAAGGCATTTCATGCCCACCAAGCTGACACTGCAGAAAATAGTTACAGAAATGCTACACACGAAAGAGGAAGAAAGTTTCAATCATAAGAGCACAGCAGAAGATGAATGCATTGAAGAGTGAGTGGGCAAGGGGAGCCAGTATGAAATCGGTTGTGCCCTACACAGTCAACCAGCAAAGCCATGACACAGATAGGGAAGAAAAAGAGGAAAGAATAATCCAGCCAATAAAATTATGCCTCTCAATAATAACCTTAAATGTAAATGACTTTGGCTTACCAATAAAGACATGCAGACTGGTTGGCTGAACTTTAAAAAAAAGAAACTAGATACAGCTGGACAGGTGGTAGCACAAGCCTATAATCCCAGCACTTGAGAGGCAGAGGCAGGCAGACCTCTGTGAGTTCAAGACCAGCCTGGTCTGTAGAATTTGTTCCAGAATAGCCAAGACACACAGAGAAACCCCATCTTGAAAAACCAAATAGGTTGTTGGTTGTTTTTTACTCTTTTGCTCTTTGGGATCCTATCACCCAGCTCCCAGATAAATCACATGGAGAGAGACTTTTCTTACTTATAAATGCCCAACCTTAGCTTGACTTATTTCTTTCTAGCCAGCTTTTGTCAACTTAAATTATCCCCTCTGTCTTTTGCCTCTGGGTTTTAACCTTTTCTTACTTCTGTAATCTTACTTTCACTCTTTCTCTGTGGCTAGGGGTAGCTGGGTGCCTGGTCCCTAGCTTCTTCCTCTCCTTGTTCCCTTTTACTCTTCCTTCTTCTCTTGCTCCTAGATCTTTCCTTCTGTTTATTCTCTCTCCTGCTGACCCTGCCTATCATTTATCCTGCCTCACTATTGGATGTTTAGCTCTTTATTAGACCATCAGGTGTTTTAGACAGGCAAAGAATCACACCTTCACATAATTAAACCAATGCAACATAAACAAAAGCTATACATCTTTGTATCATTAAAACAATTGTCCCACAGCATAAACAAAAGTAACATAGCTTAAAATAATACTCCACAACACAGATATATATATATATATATTCATTCCAAAAAACACACCTATGGACAGAGTATAGAAGATAATCTGTCAAGTGAATGGAAGCCAAAAACAAGATGGCATGGCTAGTTTGATGTCTGATAAGCATACTTCAAGTCAAAATTAGAAGAGATAAAGGAAATACTACATTATTAATACAGGGAACAAATTCATCAAGAAGATATAACAATATAAATACATATTCACCAAACATTGGAACCCTAATTTCATAAACAAACATTAGACACAAAAAGTCAGACATGCCCTAATGCAATAATAGTGGGCTACTTCAGTACCCTACCCTCATCTTTAACTAATGTTCAATGTTGTATAACAGTATCCTCTGAATTGAAACATTCCATCCTGGATGGAGGCTCCTTAAGACTCAGGACATTCTAAAGTAATGCTCAAGACCACTCAGTAAGCAACCCACAAGTCTCAGGAAATCCCTGAAACTTAACAGATCCACAAAGATTCCTCCCTGCCCCAAGGTTATATAAATAATAAGAACTGCTAGAGAGTCCCAAGCATGTTGAGCTGTTTGTAAGCCATACAAAGAGCTCCAAAAACAAATTTCACAAGTAGTGACTTAGGGTGATGTAGCTACCTCTAAGTCATTCCTACTCCTGTAAGTGAGCCCAATAAATTCATTAGTTCACCAAGTTGAACTTTGGTAGAATCCATTCTTTGGTCTGCAATCGGTGCCCTATCTGGGGTGAGAACTTTCTTCACATATCCCATGAAGTGCACACACCAAGTTTCTTTTCCTGTAAATGACACTAATATAGCTTGAGTGTCTTTTTAAGACTCACATGTGAAGCCATCATACACACAGGAACTACATGCCAAGTGTCCTCTTCCTGGACACTGTAGCCAACATACCCTGCAGAAACAAGTAATTCCCTGAACTCCAGTGTACACTTGGCCACATCTGTGACTCAGACAAGCCAATCTTGGTCCTTCTCCACACTGCTTTCCTTTTTCTGGAATATACCACTCAATCCTCTTCATCTTGCAGTGTTGGGATCACTTTTGACAGCCTAGCCAGGGATAGCTCCGAATTTGATTGAATGGTATTTCGAGTCCTTTTTGCTGGTATTCCAGTTCAGTCTCTCACTGGGGGAAGTAAGAACAGGAACCTGGAGGCAGGCGCTGATGCAGGGGTCATGGAGGGGTGCTGCTTACTGGCTTGCTCCCCATGGCATGCTCAACCTGCTTTCTTATAGCACCAAGGACCACAAGCCCTGGAGTGGTACCCACAATTAACTGAGTCCTCCCACATAAATCACTAGTTAAGAAAATGCCCTACAGACTTGACTACAGACCAATCTCATGAGAGCTTTTTCTCAATTGAGAATCCCTCTTCTCAAACGAGTCCAGCTTCTGTCCGGTTGACATAAAACTAGCTAGCAGGGTGCATTTACCCATGAAAGGTACTCGCAAATATTCCCAGCTCTTCCTGACAAAGACTATCGCACCTACATTGTTTCCAGAAGGCAAGCAAATAGCTTATCCACAGTGCTGGCCTTGGGCACGCTGGAGGTTAATCTGAAAACCCTCTTACAAAAACAGGCTTGCTCTGGTCCCTTTGTTTCCTGGGAATCCCAGACGTGGCCCCTCCCCAGAGAACTGTCTTCCAGAGCTCAGAGACTGGGTTTGACAGGGTCTAGGTACCCAATGGAAGAGCAGGGGGAGCAAATAGAGGGAGGGCTGGAGGGATTAGAAGGCTTTGGGGACTCAGATCCCACTTGCCTGGGCTCTCTCTGGATCCGTCCACTAGCCCATTCCATTAGGAGACTTCAAAATCATGCTGAATTCCACCCCACAATACTACAGCTCCAAGATGCCTCTCCTCTTCTCCGTCCTTGGAGCTGATCGCCTGTGAGCCTCCACTTTCTGCCCTCAGGTGTGGTGTCATTAGTCCTAGCAGGCAGGTACCCTACCACCGCCACTTCGTGCAGGTTCCTGGTGGGTCAGTAATGTGGACCGCTCACCATCACCTGCTTCTGACATATAGCCAACCCAGATGGTTCTCCCATCACATTCCTGCCCTAGAGCCACTTGTCCACCCTTCCCAACATTCGAGGTGCCACCTCCAGCTAAGACCAGCTTGGTTCTGGGTTCTGGAACACTTTTCGGGGGGGGGTATTAATCCCAAGAGGAGGCGAACCCTGGTGGTCCAAAGGTCTCTGGTCAGTTCAGTCTGCCCAACACACAGTGTAGCAGCCATCAGCTGCAAGCACCCGCTCTAAATCCATTTGGGTCCTCCTCAGCCTGCCTGAGGTCACTGTCCTGTGGGAGGTCCACGAGGGCCACTCGTTGGAGATGCCCTGGACGCGGACGTTTGCTTCATCATACACCTTATTGGCCTTTGCCAAACTGAAAAAGAGACAAGTGTAAGAGAAAAATTTAAATAACCAAAGCAAAACAGCCAAAAATCAAGAGGAAAATAATTACATGGAAAAGACCCGATTAAGCAAAAAGCAAATTTTGCAAAGGAAAAAAAACCCAAAGAGATAAAAGTCAAGTTGGAGAGACCAGAGAAAGATAAATTTAAATTTATTTCCAAGTTCAGTAAATTTGCATGGAATTTGTATGAGGACCTCAAGACTCAAACATGACAAGTAAGCTTTTCTCATTTAGTTGCATTTTCCACTGAGAGACAGCAGGGGGCGATAGAGACAGGCGCTTCATTGAGCAAAGTACTGCCCTTAACCTGAGGTCAAAGGACAATAGTTTGTGTGAAAAACTATGAAAAAAGTTGCATGCTTTTTTTATTGAATCCTGTTTAAGGAATACAGCTTCCTGAAATTCTGTGCAAGGAAGAAATAATGAAAAATTGCAGGATATAAGATATAAAAATTACAGGATTTAAGCAGAGCAGTGGGGAATGACGGGAACAGGGCCTGACTCTATCCTCAGCCAGTCATCCGGACTCAGAACGAACTTTAGCCAAGGCTGTGGGTCCTTTCACGTTAACACTGGAGATGAAGGTTTTCTTGGGACTGAGAACATTTCATTAAGCAATAATGGTATAGGAACCACTAAATGGTAATGATCATCTTTTGTGTGCCAGTCGCTTTAAATATTTTACAGATATCAGCTGTCACCTTCACAGTCACCCTCTGAGGCAGGTGCCACTATCATCCCATCTTACACAGGAAGGAACAGGCAGCTCGCCTTGGAAGCGTCAGATCCAGGTTTAGGAGGATCACGTGCAGTCTCTCGTCATTCCACAGGGTTCCCCGTGTGTCACCCACACACTTCTACAAAGGAAAGCCCTGGCCGACCATTCGGAATACACTGTATGAAACACACAGTCATATTTGCTATTGTTATTAATACAATGAGTGATATGCGTCCTCTGGGAGCTTAGTATCTAGTTAAGGAGTTTAGGAAGGTTAATAATGCAGGAGAGGCACCGAATGAATGAATTAATGAGTCGATCAATCAACCTAACAAATAATAGTTGTGTATCAGTATTCCAGTGTGCAGAGAGAATGTCAGGCCTGGGTCATGGCTGGTTCAGTATCGTGTCTGCCTCCACACCACTAATAGAAAGCAATTTCTGATTCTAAGTGGCTAAGATAAGAGTTACCTTCTGAATGTTTGATTGAATGGATTAAACACGTCAAAGAACTGTCACACGAGGCACC